TCGCGCGCCATCTCTCCCATCTGACAATAAAGGTCCGGGGGGGGGGTTACAGGGCGGGAGCAACACGGATTTATTACTGATCTACTTCGGGAAGCTGCTCCATCCCTGGGGCGGCTTGCAAAACAGGTAACACCCTAAGAACTGAAACACGCCGTGTCTCGATCTGGTACACACAAGCGAAGACACACGACAGAGGAGCGCCCGGGACTTCGAACGCCTCCGAGTTTCCCCGAGCAGTTGCTCCGACGCGGCCTGACCGCAGACGAGGAGGCCGGCCCCTGGCTGCCCGAGGGAGCTCTCGGGAGGAAGAGCGCGAAGGAGCTGCCCTCCTTCCGGGTGAGGCGGTTCCGGGTCTCCTTCACAACCGGAGCGAGAGGAAACACCAATCCGCGGGCCTGGGACCAAGAACAAGCCGGGCGTTCCCCTCTAGGGGGCCCAACCTCAGCTCCCAACGGCTGCGAGACGGGCTTCGACAGCGGCCGGAGGACCGAAAAGCAGCCCGGCCGCCCAGTCCGACCGAGGCTTGGACCCCCGCCAGAAGCAGGCGCGAACAAGCAGAGGAAAGAAAGGGAGCGGGGAGCCGCCAGGATGGAGGAGTGGGCGGAGGGAGAGCTCTCCCATTTACCTTGGGCTTCTCCTCGGACATGGCGCCGCGTCAAGCAGAGGCCTCTCAGGGAACGAGTCCACAGCGCTCGGAGCCCGCTTCTTCCTTCCCTCGCCTCTCCCGCCCGCAGCAACTGCCCGCGAGCACGCGCTTCGCGCCCCACAATCTTCGGCGCCCGGTTGGTCCTGCGCGGATCACGTGGGGGGACGCTCGCCCTCGCGGCGCGCCCCCGAGCGATGCTCTTCTCGTCGGGAGCGCGCTTCGTCGGGGTGGAGCAGCCGGTGGCGCCCATGGTGCGTCATCGCCGGCTAAAGTGGGGGCGCTGTGGCGCTCCGGAGGGCAAGAGCTCAGGGGCGTGGCCAGAGCGTGGCGCGGGAGGAGAAAGAAGGCGGGGCCAACGGTGGATGCTGTGGTTGCTCAACATAAATTTAGGGGTATCGATTCGTGATGCTCTGTGTCATACATAGGCATTTCTATATGTGTATAAACAAGGCTTTGAGGCTATTTAAAGTCCTTTTAAAATTCAAGGTTGTTTGGAAGCAATACATGTACTTTCAAATGACAGAAGGGAGAAGCAGGGAATTTTAGGAGTTGAAGATTCATTTTGCATTTCCCAAGAGTAGCACAAATATGTAGCATTTTTTCCTACATATTATTTGTTCTTTGATACCTGAACCCTTACAGCTACCTGACAAGATCCTCTGCTCAGTGTATTTCTTTAAGCCAGATCACATGGGTGTACTCCTGGGTTTATTTATTTATTTATTCAATTTTTACCCTGCCCCTCTAGACAACGTCTACTCGGGGCGGCTTACAAAGATTAAAACACATTAAAACAACGTTGATGCCCCAGCCTCAGCAGTGGCCAGGAGTGCACTTGCACAGCTAAAGCTGGTGTGCCAGCTGTGTCCATTCCTTGAGATGTCAGATTTGGCTACAGTGACACATGCCTTAGTTACATCCAGTTTGGATTATTGTAACACACTCTTTGTGGGGATGCCTATGAAGATGGTTCGGAAACTTCAGCTGGTGCAAAACTCTGCAGCCAGAATAACGCACTTGTTACAAGAACTGCACTGGCCACATGTCCCTTTCCGGGCCGAATTCAAAGTGCTGGTCATTACCTATAAAGCCCTATGCAGTTTGAGTCAGGGCTACCTGAAGGACCGTATCTCCCTATATGCGCTTTCTCGGTGATTAAGATCAGCAGAAACTCTCCTCTAGGTCCCATTGCCAGCACAAGCACAGCTGATGGGGACTCGGGAGAGGGCCTTCTCTGTGGCAGCTCCCAGGCTATGGAGCGCTCCCCCTCGGGAGATCAGGATGCACCCTTCCCTTTTATCCTTCCAAAAAAAGCTGGGTTGCCCCCTTCCTTTTTATCCTTCCAAAAAAAGCTCAAGACCCATCTCTTCAGGCAGGCTTTTAACAATTACAACTGAATCCCTGAATCCCATTTTAGCAGGAAATTTTAATCTTTTCACGTTTCCATGTTTTAATCTTTTAATTTTATTTTAAATCCTATATGTTTAATTTGTCTTTTAATATTTAACTTACTGTGTTTTAATTGTGTGAATTTTAATGCTATGAGCCACCTTGGGTCCCTTTGTTGGGAGAAATGCAGCATGCAAATAAAACTGACAACAACAAAGTCATGGATAGTCAAGCAGGTTACAGTATGGTAGAATAAAGTTGGCAACCCATTCCCCATGTAGTAGCTGACGGGGCCGGCGGCTGAATCTTACTTCCAATGCTCATACAGTGGACCCTTGACTTACAGACGGCTTGACTTACAGACTTTTTGAGTTACAGACTTCTCTGGCCGCAAAATTTAGGTTTGACTTGCAGCCTGAGAATTGACTTACAGACCAGAAAAAAAACAAAATGGAACAAAAACGGCCTGTTACGGGATTAATCGGTTTTCAATGCACTGTAGGCCAATGGAGACTTGACCTACAGACCTTTTGACTTGAGAACCACCTTCCAATACGGATTAAGTTCTCAAGTCAAGACCCCACTGTATTGGGACAGAGGTTTCTCTGTCACATCTGAGGGCAGCTGTATGTTATCTAACTCTCTTATGATACCTCACTAACAATCTTCTCTGTTTCTTACACATCATCTGCTGCCTTCTTTACCTCACAACAGAGTAAGTCTGCCAACGAGGCCCCAAGAACTAAAACCAGAATATATTGCTCCTTAAAATTTGTGTACCATTTTTCCGCAAAAATAAGACAGGGTCTTATATTAATTTTTGCTCCAAAAACGCATTAGGGCTTATTTTCAGGGGATGTTTTATTTTTTTTGTACAACAATCTAAATTTATTCGAATACAGTCATGCCATCTTCTTCTGGTTGCTGCACAATAGTGGAGGTCGGGGTTTCACTTAACTAGGGCTTATTTTTGGGGTAGGGCTTATATTACGAGCATCCTGAAAAATCATACTAGGGCCTGTTTTCAGGTTAGGTCTTATTTTCGGGGAAACAGGATACATATTTTGGTGGGGGGGTTATGTATAGCAGTGGTCCCCAACCTAGCGCCTCCAGATGTTCTTGGACTTCAACTCCCAGAAACCCTGGCCAGCAGAGGTGGTGATGAAGGCTTCTGGGAGTTGTAGTCCAAGAACATCTGGAGGCCCAAGGCTGGGGACCATTGATGTATAGAATATGATTGTGGGACAATTTTTTTGCTCCTAAATATTAGCAAGGGCATGTAGGACCCGATCTTACCTCTGCATTGATTTAACACTCACACCTGCCTTCAGCCTGTAGGGTATACAGTTGGGGTGGGGGGGAGAGAAAACTCTTCTCAAGATGTGTTTCTCAGTCTTCTATTTTGTAGCAACTCATATTTCAACAATAATTTCATTCTAATTACCCAATTATAAATTGTTATACATTGCATTCTGACAATATCCCTGGTCTTTTGTATAATAGTACTGAATACATTTATTAGTGCTTTGTAATGTCTAGTTTCAATTCCATGCGCCGAGACTTTTGTGTGTATAATCTGGGTGGAAACATGGGTTCACATGGGTCTCTGTTTTTCACAACAAAGACAACAATCTACCATTTTTTTTGTTCTTGCTGCTACTGCTGCCAGCCAGATTATTGCCTTCTTGTACTGATTTCTCTAACTAGTACTAATTTCTCTTTTTAATTGTATTTATTATATTGTAATTTTATCCTCAATGCACTTTGATTTTTACCCCTATGTATTAATGTTATTTGCTATTGTGTTACTTCGTTGTTTTACGTTATTTGTTGTAAACCGCCCAGAGTGGCCTTGGCTGCCAGACTGGTAGTATATAAATAAAAAAATATAAATAACAACCACAACATAAAGGAGTGAAACTACATATTATGACCTTCATGATACCAAACATGACAACATTCTCAAGAATATATTGAAACATAAGAGGGAAGTATACTAACAAAGAATTCCATTGTTCAACTAATCGTGTCAGAAATAAAGTACACCTTTAAAAAGGCCCAGTCATGCCTTTATATGAGTCATCAAAGTAGTGGTCATGTTAGTCTGTGTAAGCGCAGCCAGACAAAACCAAAAAAGAAAAAAAAGAATATGGTGGCATTTTAAAAGACAAAATTTTATATTTAATCCACAAAAGCTTACACTGGAATAAAAAAGTTAGTCTTTCAGGCACCACTATGTTCTTTTGTTTTGATTTTTTTTTCTTTCTACCTGACAGGAAGTCAGTTATTGGCAACAATGCTTTCAATAGGTTTCTGAATTCTGTACTGAATACAGTTCTAATCTGTGCTAACTACCCAGATGTATGCTATGTCATTATTCAAGACAAAATCACACAAAATAATTTTCAATGTGCACAGCATAAATACTGGAGTTTTAGAGAACTGTCAAGCGAATGTCAGTAAGAAGCTGTTCAGTCTTACTGACACATGCTACATCTTGTTGCCAATTCAAAGGAATAACTTGGGGCTGAATACTTTTGTGCCTGGTAAATTATTAGTCTCATTACCTTGTTTTTCTTTTTAAAATGCTTGGGTGTGGCAGAAAAACACTGCTTTGTTTAGTGCTCTTTTCATCAGGGCTTTAATCTCAATTTTTACTATAACTGTAACCACCTATGTTTAAATGGAGCTATTACTACCATTTAGCTAGAAATATCTATGCATTTAGTTTTGTTTTGAGACATCAGAAGTGTGTGTGTGAGAGAGGGTGTCTCACAGAGTATTATCCTCAAAAACATGTATTCAAATGGTTTCTTTTTAGATAAGAGGGATTCTATGCAGTTTGAAATGGTTTACAGTAGAGAGAGATTACAGTCTTCAGGAAAGTTACAACTCCTTTCCACGGGGTCTTTTGAAACAGTCAAATCAATAGCAAGTTACATTTTCTCAGCTTGGAATCCTATACCCACTTACTAGGGAACAAGATTTAGATCAATAGTACAAGTCTAGAGAATTGCATTTGCCAATCAAAACCACTTTCTGTATGTCCTCATTAATTATGCAAAATCCCATCTGTATCTTATAATGGCCAAAAGTCTACTAGTGTTCACATAAGGCTACATAACTTTACATAAATAAATGACTAAGTGTCAGGGTGTAACTTGGTTGCACACTAAGACGTATGACTAAGATGTACCCAGCATCTTCAGTTAGCCATGTCAATCTACAGAAACCTTTCACAAACAATAGGATTCTAGCCTATTCCTTTCTAAGTTAACAAGATATAAACCTGTCAAAAACTGACCTCAGTTCAAAAATCATGGGAGAAAGAGGAAAACACTGAAGACAGGTGCAGGAAAAATTTTTATAAACATCTTATACGTAATGCAGTAACAAGCTTACTTGTTAACAGAGTGTCTTTCCCCAATGTCATCTGCCCAACCCACCAGATCTCAGGCCAGGCTCCTCCGTGTAGCCACCCTGAGAGAGGCCCAAAAGTCATCTACTAGAGGTACAGCCTTCTCAGCGATAGCACCAATGTTATGAAATCAACTCCCAGAGGAGCTACGCCTAGCGTTATGAAATCAACTCCCAGAGGAGCTATGCCTAGCCCCCTCCCTATACTTATATAGGAGGCAGTTAAAAACACTACTTTACATCCCCTCCCTATACTTATTTAGGAGGCAGTTAAAAACACTACTTTACATGGAGGCCTTTCACATTAACCCCACATTAAGGTCAAAAAGCTAGGAGAAAGACATTAAACCTTAATCTATGAAAGAACACAGGTAGCCAATGAAAAGGGAATGGAGCTACATGGTGTTTGAACAGTGAACAAAGTAAATTAAATGCCTCAAGGTCTATGGGAAGAAAATATTTAGATGAAAAACTGGGACCAAACATTGCAGCAACACACATAAGAATATAGACAAAAATCTTAGCAGAATCAACAGAAAGATATTAGGAGATCTATACTGAAGACAACAATTAGATATGTGTCATATATGGAGTTGCTGTCTGAACCAAGTATGTGGCCATTTTCCACCAGCATGAAAGAACTCACAATGTTGAAGTGTTTCCCCACCTCCTAAAAAGTACTGTATTCCTTTTAGGGCTTTAGCCAGGCAAGAATTAAAGTCCCGTGTTCTAGTTTGGGCTTCTTGGAAGAAAGGAAGGGAGAAAGGAGGCATACAAAACACTTGTTCATCCCAAATATGCTTTTTACTTTGGTTTGTCCCAAGCTTGATGATACAGTACAACTCTCGTGCCAGAAAGGTGCCGTTTTGGCAACATAAACCTAGAACACTGGGGCTGTTATTTAACATAGTAACTCCTTTTGCAATTAAAAACAACTCTTTGGTACAATGAAGGTATTCTAGGGAGTGGGAAGTATATATAATTTCTTCCTCCAGAAACATCTCTGTACAGTACAAGGGAAGGAAGTTGCTTTTAGGTTTACAGTCTGTGAACCTGCCTGTTCTTTTAAAAGTCTAAAGGAGCAGTAAGGGATTTCAGAGGTCACAAATACTTCATTGGATGCCAGACACAGTCCAAAAGCTTGCGATTCCCACTTGACTTTAGCCACTCTCCTCTCACGGGCAAGTATAAGCACTGCCTCAAAAGCATTAAAAATCCAACATTTCAGTAAATACTTCATTGGCACTTACAATTTATGGCAATCCTAATAGGATTTTTGAGATATATAAAGTGTTCAAGGACTTGTTTATCATTGCCTACCTCCAGTAAGTTTCCATGTCTGAGCAGATTCAAGCCCAGAGTCCAAGTCTGACACTTCAAATACTACACTGGCTCCCATATATATATATAATCAAGGTATAATTAAAATGGGCAGGGAGACTACCGTAACATCTTCAAGACTAATGGATTTATTTTACCATGATCTTTTATGAATTAGAGCCCACGCGTCTTTTCTCCCTCTCGTCAGCTCCTTTCATAGAGGTCTAACTATTTTTTATGGGTTTGGTACTATTATAGAGTTACATGGGGTGCTAAAAATTAACACATTTTCTGTCTTCTTGTTATTGAAAAATCTTCTACACCACTTTATTCAGCATTTGAAATAGTCTTTTACATACAGCATAGCAATTGTCACCATAAGCCCACAGGTAGGTCTGTATTACATGTCCCTATCACAAGAGAGGTGGTGGTGGGATTGCATATGATTTGACAACAATGCTCAAATTATAGGAGGAGTCCTTCCAAAACCCTTCGGCAGAGTTAATAAAGAGATCAACTCCCAAGAGTAAGTTACCCTCCACCATGCCACTAGCTACCCTATAATATGGCAAGTTAAATGCCTTGGAGGGTGATTCTTCTTTTCACGCAGGTGTCTCAACAAAATTCACTACAAAAAAAATGGGACCTTGAATAATTTATTAGTAGCAATAAGATATCTAGATGAACAACAACAACAACAAAACCCAAGTAACCATTGTAGCTTTTAAGCACTTTCAGCTTATGAGCTGTCAATACCTTGCCCAACAACTGCTCAACCCTTTTACTTTCAGGGTAAAGTTCCACACAGAGATGAATTAGGAGCAGGAAATCGCAAAGGTGGAAGTGAATATGAAGTGGATTTTGGTTTTGCTACATATCACAATAAGTAGGAGTGGCTTGACAGGTAGGCCATGAGGCAGATCCAGCCTCTCAAAGAATGTGATCTGGGGACCCTACAAAATTCAGCCATCAAGAGAAGGAAGTGTCTTCAAAAGTGGGTAGAGATTTGACACATCAACAGTAAATTTCCCTTTGGGCTCCAGTTGTGCTAAAATATGCCTAGGAATACCCACTCGCCACTAACAAAATACAGAAGCCCTTTCTGCTAGGTAGTTCTCCTCCTAAACCCTTGTGGAAAGTAGTTTTATAGAACAAGATCATTTACAATCAGTGCACCACACCATGTACATTAAAAAGGGTCTCACCATAAAAAGGCAAACACATAAAGAGATATATACTCTTTTTTTCACCACTTTTGACACTTGGCAGAGGAACTTACTCTTCAGATATAGTCAGATTTGAAAACAAAACAAAAACATTGTCCTTTCCAGATGCAACTTAACAGGGCTGTCCTATCATTAACATCAGTGAAGCAATCATTTTAGGCAGCTGGATCCTGGGAGCAGCATATTCTTCCTCCCTGTTGCCCCAGCAGGAAAACTGCAGTTGCTCTGCACTCTCTGTTAGTGGAAACTAAAAACATCTCTAGCTCTGTTTTTTTTTTTTACCTCCTTTCCTTTCTTGGAAGGGAGGTGCACCTGCCTCTTTTGTACAGAAGTAGGAAAAAGCGAGGCTGTATGTCATTTTATACTTCAGGGCTGGCTAGTTCAGGTTGAACTCTGGAGCACCTATGAGCATATCCTTCTCAGACAATGGGGTGGGGGAAGTTGTCACTGCTACAGCCTTATCCTCCACCTCCTTCAGCAACTTGGGAAGGAACAGCATGCCCTGCTGCATCCTACATGTGTGGAGGGGGGCAGTATGTGCCACCACCATGACTCATGAAGTTTTGCAAGGCACCTTGAGGGCCAGGAAAATTTAGACCACCCTGGCTTTCTGTGACTTAAGCATAAACCAAACTAGAGACATCTTTCCTCAGTACACCTTGGCTGATTTTGAAGAATTTCCTATGGGTGAAATGGCTTAAGCAGCAAGAACCAAAGTATAGAATGCAAATAGGTAGAAGAGCATAGAAGTTGCTAATGCTAAACTTTTTTTCCTTTAGTTCCTTCCAGACTGAAAAAGCATTTGTTTACTCATTTCTCTAAAACAGAGCAGAATATTTGTTTAAGTCCACACTCAATTCCCCATTCTTTAGGTTTACAAGGACAACAGAGGTCTAGAATGGCAATGTATTAAATCTGTTTATTTTGATAGCTTAATAATTTACATATTTTCACTATAGTTTAATTTCAGCTATTAATATGGCAAGAGAATTGTATGAAAGTTTTTCATTATGCAAAATCCTATAGTTTTGGAATGCTCTATTCTGTACATTCCTCTTAAGAACTCTGAGAGCTTTGTAGAATTCACTGTGTCCCAGAAAATCAAACACTGCAACAGATTAAGGAGTATTATGTGTTTGTGCCATTGACAAAATCTATACAAATTTTAGGATTACAATTATACTTCAAAGTGATTAACATACTTTTTTCCAAAAAGGATGTCAGCATGAAAGTACCAGAATTAGATCTTCTACTGTCCAATGGTGTCAAATGCCATTAATGTTCTCCTCTGCATTCTGTGCAGATGATCTAGGATTGTTTTACTCACGTTTCTTAGATAATACATTTGGTATACTGCAAGTATCTTTTAAAGCACCTCCCTCTAATTCATTTGTTCCAGGCAGCTCTTTAAATATACTTTTCCAAAACGTTGGTTTCATTATGTTTTGATCTGTCATCTTAGGAAAAACCATGCATTCAAACTCCAGTGCATGGACTCAGATGCAGAACAGGTTGAAAAACAGGCTATTGCATCAAGCCAAAAGATTTTATCAACTAATCTTATTCCAGGCAGCAGAAATTAATGTCAAGGTTTCACTGTGGTTCTTTACTTGGAAAAGAGTCCTTTCATTCTTCTGATAATTTGGTAGCTAGAGACATTCTTTCCAAGATTATATATTGCTTCATGCGATTCAGATTTGGCAACTTCATATTACAAGTAGTATAAAGCAGTTTAACTGGGTTTTCAGAAATATTTAAATATAGCAAACTTTTTGAAATTCTTCACATAGGCAACTGTCTAATGAACACAACATAAAAACTAAAATCACAATGAGTCTAACTACTTTCATCGTACAAATATTTTAAAAGGTACAAGAACAAAAGGACCGTACATGTATAGCAGAGGAAAAAAATAGTGTTAATATATAAAAGTGCAAACCCTCATAATCTCATGATAAAAACATCTGTTTTTGGAACAATTTGGGTACTTTTTGCTAGTGGCACAATTAAGACTTAATGTTTCTTCATTCAGCCTATCCAGCTAGGATTTCCAGGTAACCCTATAAACTGTAACCTAATCCACCTTTACATTAAAATAGCTACAATTTTTTGATCACAAAGAAGACGGAAGATATGTGCACTATATCTCTCTGCTTTATAAAGGGGTTTGTACAAGGCTTGACTGGTAAACAAAAGCATATGCAAGCAAGATACTATGGTAACAAAGGCACCTGCAGAACAAGCAAGTATAATTTAATTATCTTGCAGTCTCCTGCAAGGCCATCTGGATTTTCAGAGGTATGCTGGCTTCAACTCAGTGTTTATTAACAACTCATTTCAATCGGCTCCATCTTGCATTATGACTACTTTTTCATTTGCAATTAAGGCATCTAAATTGCAGGATCTTTTAGCAGCTGCATGGCACATTCAATGGACAGCTTTACCAGAGTTTATTTTGGCATGCCAAATAGAAATTTTAATTGTTCTCAAATTTGGCATATGGATTTTCTTCTTTAAACAGGCCTGGAAAAGTAATAACATTTGGTCAGAACACAGAGTAAATGTCTGGTTTAAGAGAAAGATCCCAGAACAAGAATGGAAAACAGTTGCCAATTAGCTGGAAATTAATAAAACTGACAGACAAATGAATTTACTTACAGTGGGGGTCTTGACTTGAGAACTTAATCCGTACTGGAAGGCAGTTCTCAAGTCAAAATGTTCTCAAGTCAAATCTGCATTTCCCATAGGAATGCATTGAAAACCATTTGATCCGTATCTGCTCTTTTCCGTCCATAGAAACTAATGGGAAGCTGCTATTCTGCCTTCGACCACTAGAGGGGGGTATTTTGTTTCTTTTTTTTCTTAGGTCAAGAAAGGTTCAGGGAAGGCAGGGAAAATACAGTCCAGGCAGGACAGTACCAGGCAGTCCAAAGACTGTCTCCCAATCCACTCTCTAAACGCTGGGAGGAGTGAGGAAGCAGACAGGCACCCTTTTCACTGGCCAACAGTCAGCTGAAAGTTCACATTTTGCACTTTCCCTGCCTCCCACGTGGTTTTTTTTCAGTTCTTAACTCAAATCTAAGTACTTAAGTCAAGTCAATATTTTCCTATGAGAGTGGTTCTTAAGTCAAAATGTTCTTAACTCAAGTAGTTCTTAAGTCAAGACCCCACTGTATTATGAATAAACAATCTATAGTTCTCAATGGCTCATCTATACTAGTAGCTGTTTTATTGAATGTGACATTTGATGAAAAAGCAATACCCTCTTTTTTGTGAAATTATCTGACAACTTTGAAAAACCTGCAATGGAAGTTCTCTCTACATATACAAATCACTGATCTAGCATAAGATAGGTAAAGGTAAAGGTTCTCCTTGACAATTTGTCCAGTCGTGTCTGACTCTAGGTGGCGGTGCTCATCTCCATTTCCAACCCATAGAGCTAGCTTTTGTCCGCAGACAATCCTCCGTGGTCACGTGGCCAGTGTGACTAGACACAGAATGCCGTTTACCTTCCCACCGAGGTGGTATCTATTTATCTACTCGCATTTTTGCATTTTGCATGCTTTCGATCTGCTAGGTTGGCGGGAGCTGGGACAAGCGACAGGGGCTCACTCCGTTGTGTGGATTCGATCTTACGACTGCACGTCTTCTGACCTTGAGGCACAGAGGCTTCAGCGGTATAACCCGCAGCGCCACCAATAATTGCAATGCTAATTAGTAACAGCTAATCAGAACTTCTGACACCAAGTTCCTGTTCAGGTAAAATTCTACTTGAATGACAAATTCAGGGAATACAATCTCCATTTTATCAGATACAAGAAAACCAAACACCCAGCATAATGTTTTTAGGGTTAAGGGTTTGGATATTGAAAGTGTTGACTTATTACCAATTTATCTTGCCTTTCTTCTAAAAGGGTTTAGGGATTAAGAGCACATTAAATGGAAAATAAATCTAACTTGGTCTCCATTTTGTGCCCTTAACCTCAAGTGTATCTTCACTTCATCTTCAGTATGTTTTAGAAAGGACTAAATGAAGGTGTGGAAACCAGACGTTGCCACCCATTACAGCACCAGACTTGGTGTGGACATACAGCACTCAGATGGTCAAAAGGGTCCCGGTAACTAGTTTTTGGCTTGACTACCAAGGCTACATAAAAACACAGCACACACTCTCCTGAAGTCTTTAACAATACACAGCAACTAAGATGAAGTATCACGATGTCACCGAAGCTACCAGCATGAATTTGACCCAACTCCGGGAGGCATTGGAAGACAGGAGGGCCTGGCGTGCTCTAGTCCATGGGGTCATGAAGAGTCGGACATGACTTAATGACTAAACAACAACAAATCACCATGTATTCAATAAGTAAAGCAGCCAACGCTTACCATACTTTTTCCGAATTTCATCATGTCTAGATTTCATCTCTGCTCTCCTGAAAGAAGGATGATACAAGTCATATAATATTTGAAATCTTAAAATAAGTTTATTATTCATACATCTATATACCAAGTAGGAAGGAGATCAATGCTAATAAAATGTTAGCTTTCAACTATGTTTATTCACATTAATTACACAGTGATTTTTGATATCCACAGCCACTAGGACATTCAAGGCATCTTACAATCTAATTTCTAGTATTTCTAGGTGCAAAGTCTTCCAAGATCACTAAACACCTAGCCTAGGTATGATGAATACGTGGCTCTCTAAATGTGTTTGAAGTGCAGCTATCTCACCGTGTCTATGTCAGCTAGTGATAGCAGAAGCTGCAGTTCAGCTACACCCAGAGTATCACATATTCCTCCCTCTGAGCTAGCATTTAGGTGGCAAAGACCAAAAAAATAAGCCAGCATGCAGCATACCTCTCTTCCTGCCTTATTCTTCTTTGTTCTCTCTCCCTGGCAGTTTTTTCATCATCCTTATCTGGCCTGTTCAAGATAAAAGCATTTAAGACAGGCATGGTTATGCATGTCATAACACAACAGGATCGCCAAATACAGTAATTGGACTTAAAGTACTTAAAAACAGGACCGTGGTCAGATACTTGCTTTCTGATCTTTTTCTTCTTGCAACAGCAACAGAAGCAGCAAACAAAGAGAGCAATAAGGATTGTTCCTCCCACCACAGACATTGTAATAATCAGAGCTTCAAAATTCACTGAAACAGTTAAGCACAAAAAGATAGTGAGCAAGCTGTTTCAAAAGAAAACTGCAGCAGTTTAAAAAAAGCCCCAGATGCTGCTTTCAAAATACAGGCACTTTAATTGGAAATATTGCAAGCTTATTAAGGTATATATCAAGAAGGACTAAGCACAGCAACATCACATAGGTTAGCATATGTGTGAGCATACATTCCAGAAGTTATCATGGTGATGTTTTCCAGTCATTAAAATAAGTTTATATAAAAACAGTTTGATGCCCCTTACTATCAATGGATATTGATACCAAAAGCTAGAAATGGAAACTTTTTTTATTCAAATGCTGCATTGGTTTTAGTTACAAAACACTGGAGACAAGCAAAAGGCAGTTACCATCATCATATCCTGCTTGCATATTTCATAGGATCACCCAACTAGCCACTATTGAAAGTATTGTATTTTTTTTAGTGTCCTAGGAGGTAAGGATCAATTGCAATCAGTTTCCATTCTCATTTGAGAATGGTGCAAATGTACCTCTTTTAAAATTGGCATGTTATTTAATTGATTGTGATTTTTTAAAACTGCCTGTAGCTTTAATTGATTTAAATTATTTTACGTTTTGGAAAGAGAGAAATGTATTGCATCCAAGATGTCATTGATAAAATCCTGCACTATTTTTACAGGTCACTCACCCCAACAGACACCCCAGCGTGCAGCACTCAGCTCGCAAAGAGAACTGTGAGGAAGGATATTTCGGACAGGGTAGTCTATGCACTTTTTGGTGCTGCTGCACCATAAACACTAAGGGAGAAAAAGTGGGAGTAAATACTACAAGCCAGTAACAATTGCAAAAATCAGCTAAAAGGATTCAAGATACAAAGAGAAAGGAACACACAACTATATGTAGAGACACAGTACTGTTCATGTTTTGATCAGAGAATGTTGCCAAGCACTGATGTGTAAGCATGGCTACCACTGATAGTCAACATGTTTTTAACACAGTGAAACTGTCATTAGCTGTAACCCTAATCTTTACACAGCATATGAAGATTAGTAGAAAGGTCATTACAAAGAGTTTGACAAATTTTTAACTTCTCTCTGGAGCACACTTGCTTAAAGTAAGCTTTCCTGAACTTGGTACAAAGCCAAACTATGCTATTGTGTTAAACATATTGATAAAGTATGCTATGATGTTAAAAATAAAAAAGCCCAAATGTCAAAATCTTTAGCTTGACTTCCACATGGCTAGAATTAGGTAATGCACTTTCCAGAATAAGAGTATCTAAGTAATGTGGTACCCAACAACAATCTTATTTATATGGTGCTAGGAAAGAAACAGTTTAGCAAATGAATTTACATTTTATTTATTTAAATTTACATTCCATCTTACTGTAAAAGGGGGGCACTCAAGGGAGCTAAAAATGATAGAATTCAGCTAAATGTAAGCCATCTTGAGCTCTTTTTCAGAAGAAAACCAGAGTAATTACTTCAACTGCATTTCAGGTTAAATGCCAAAATCCTCTCTGGGGGCAAAAAAAAGCATTTGCTTGTTTGCAGAAGAAGGCAGGCAGCCTAGCCTCCTCAGGCAAGGATGTTCAGAGCCTGGGAGCAATCACTAAAGATGTGTGTGAGGGTTCAACTCTGGGCTCCTTTCTCGCTTCAAAGAAATCGGGAGATTTTTGTTGTTTAGAAACAGGTGAGATATTTATTGGTGTGTTTAACAAATAACCACTGTCTATAACTTGATTCCATTGTCTTTCTCCTTCGGATAATGGGTCCTGAAGGGGCTTCCAAACTTCATCCAGGAACGGGTTTCTCTCACTGGAGTTCTAGGGACCGAGCCAATCTGCAAAGCTGTTAGGGTTTACAGTCTGTTCCGGTTCACATTCCAACAAGGGCACAGTCTCGTCATCCCAGCCGTCACCCAAATGAAACATTCTTCTGATGTGGGAGTCTTCCAGGGTCCTCCCTGAACCCCTTCCTCCTCATCTCCTTTACCCTCCATTCCAGCCTCTCTCTCCTCTCTCTTTCCACTCTTTCCTTTTCTTCCCTGAGCCTCCTTCTCCACTCTTTGGCCTCTACCTCTCCCCAGTAGGACAGTCTGGGTGGAATCTCCCTTCTCCTCCTATCCGCCTCCTCCTTGGGCACTCTTAGTCTTTCCCAAGCACTGGCCCATGGGTCCCCCATCCAAACCCACTCCGAACCTGGTGGTAGCTGTTCTTCTCTCCTTTTTATATCTGCTGTCCACGCCTCTATCTCCACCCTCTTCTTCCGCTCTATTCCCGCCGTTTTTCCGTGAGCCCTTTCAATGGTTAGTTTTTGTATTTCTCCTTCTATCTCCTCTGTCTCTGTCCCTCGCTGCTCTGTCTTTTTGAGAGTTGAGACAGGCTGGGTCTATACTTCCTTTTCTTCTGTACGGAGGAGGGACAGCTCTCCAGTGAGTGGGATCCCCCCTCTCACCTCATGTCTCACAATGTGTTTCTATGAATGGGTGGAATGAGAGGGTTTCTTCCTAAAACCCAAATGCCCAGGCAAGTTTGAATGAGACAACTACAGTATTTCAGATCACCTGATCCCAAGTCATATAGGGCATTATAGGCTATATGCAGCATTCTCAATTGTGCTCAGAACCAGAACATTAGCACATGAGCTAAAGCTATGCTATATTTTTAGTCTTTCCCAGGGTTCTTCACTTTTTTGTTATTTAAAAAAACAGTCACATGTTCCCGCAGTCAACAGTCTGGCTGCATCATAGTGGACAAATGATGTTTCTTAAACCCTTTTCAAAGGTTGCAGACTGAAATATAGTAGCCAAAACAGCATGTAACTAATATACATCACTACATGGAGCCTCGTGGCGCAGTGGTTAAACTGCTGTACTGCAGCTAAAACTGTGCTCACGTCCTGGGATTCAAATCCCAGGTAGCCGGATCAAGATTGACTCAGCCTTCTATCCTTCTGAGGTCGGTAAAATGAGTACCCAGCTCGCTGGGGGGACAATGTGTAGCCTGCATAATTAAATTGTAAACCGCCCAGAGAGTGCTTGAAGTGCTGTGGGGCGGTATATAAGCAGCACGCTTTGCTTTTTTTTTTTTGCTTTTACATAAATGTCTGATATCTCTCAGAATATCTCTCAGACACAGTAGCCCTAATTCTGTAACTTCCACCTCTGAAACCTGGCTATCTAAATTGCATACTTGCTTCATCAAGGAGAATATGACCCCTATTTCCTGATCTGCCTTTCAAGTGACCAGCAGCACATCTACCTTGACTGGATTAAACTTCAGTTTGTTGTCTTTCATATAGTCTACTACCAACATCAGATAATTGTTAGCACTAGAAAGATTAAAGTGATTTACTTCAAGGTCATCTACCTAGGAAATAGGAGACTGTAACAGCTGTATATTAAAATGAGTCTACAATGCATTTTACTTTCTTATTACAAATAAACTCAAGAGCTATCTTAGGCCTCGGTTACACAAGGAAATTGTTCTCTAGTTCTTCCAGTACTTTTCATACCTCTGTTGTACTGATTCATAGTCACTTGGTATATATACTGAGGCGATCGTCCCAAAAACTTTTAGTGCTACCAATTTATTTCCTCCTATTTGAATCATTTTGGCTGGCTACACCGTGATACTGGTTTATTTTTTCTCTTGCTTCAAGGGGCAATTTAGTCCTTTGATTTCATTTTTTAAAAATGAAATTATTGATACATCTATATATTGGGAAGGGTTTTCTGTTTGCAAAAGTGTCCTCTGTTGTACTGGCTGCTCCCGGAAGACCACCATGTGGTGTGACCAGCCAGCAAGGGCTGAAGTACACAAATGGCATACGAAAATCAAGCCGTGCCAGTATTGTCTCTTTAAAGCTGTAAGGAGGTGCCCTTGGGGCGGGCGGGGGGGGGGGGGGGGAGAGCATCCGCTAAGCGATAAGGACAGCAGCCGCTACCTAGACATATTGACCAGATAGGCGGGATATCAATACAATAAATAAATAAATTAAATACAGTATGTGTAAAGAAGCATTTATGCATAGGCCACGAATTTAAAAAAAATCAATGTGGCAATAATGCCCATCACCCCCCGCACACATTGGTATACCAACATTTCGATGTATTGTCCAATAGAAATAAAAATATATTATTATCTGCCAAGGACTAATGGCAGCACCCCAGTGACATACTTTTACCCATGCATCGATGTAATGGCTGTGGGGAAAAATTGTGCTGCAATAATGGTGGCCACCTTCCTGGCTTTGATTCTGAAAATAAGCTGGGCAGGTTGTGCACACAGATAATTCCAGTAAGCAATACACTGATACAACAGAGGTACAAAATAATAGCCCTCCCAGGGAGTAGAAAATAAACTACAGTTACACCATGGGCCGGGAAAATGTTTTGATCTTGACTGTGTATTGTGTGACCGGGGAAAAAAAGCAATGATGTAACTGAGGGATAACTAGAGAACATTCCCTTTTGTGACCAGGGCCTTAGCAAAGAATACCTGAGGTCAAGAAACAAAATCAGAGCCAGACATAAAATCTGGTCATTTTTAGGGACTAAGTGTTATATACCTTACTTGTTCAGAAGCCATGTTCAAAAGTTGCAGTACTGAAAGTGACTGTCACACTAAATGATGGCATGATCAAGTAGCTACGAAAAAAAGCAAGCAACCCAAAAAGCATTGTTTAAGTTATTATGAACACTTACATTTATGTGTAAAAGCAAGCCAGTTCCTGCTTGATTAATACACATATTTTATGATTATCAGGCAAGAGTTATAATCAAAGGAAGCAAAAATAAATTGCTCAAGTCCTGTTGAAAATTAAGAGAAGTTGCACAGAAGTAATGTTTAGTGGACTAGATACCAAATCATTTTTGATGTTTTTCAAATATGCTAAAGTCCTAAATAACCGGGCAGTGATTTTAAAACTTCTTTCAATGCATACAGAGGTTTTAAAACTTCTTTCGGTGCACACACTGAATTGTATTTTTGCTGTTCTAGATATGGATATATACATTCACCAGAACCAGTTTGTAAATAGCACAATGCCTGAACAATGCTGGGTTGGACTGTCATTTAAGGTCACAGCATGCAGGTGGCTCACATTGGATTTCAACTTGAATAATACTTACCGTTACATTTTTCAGGCATTCTTCACATGTTTTATTTGTGGGCTGTTCACAGCCTATTGGATGAATATAAAGAAACAAGTTAGTTTAACAGCATTTTAAGTTAATCTCTTACTATTCCAAGCCTCCTTCTTGTTCCTTTTTTTTTTTTTTGGGCTGTTAAAATTAAAGCTGGCCTCACCTTGTTACAAAGTGACTGCAATCAAAGCCAATCTGCTTGTGATTGTCAGAGTTACCTGTTATTTTGAGAGATAGGAGCCATTCAACTCACATTTCCTTAAAGTATGATAAATGGATGTTGAGCTGTTCTAACAAAGAGGAGATTCCTATGCCTGAAATCCCAGTGGTCTTTCCCATACATGTGGGCTGTACCAAATACCTCACCTATTCTAGTTCTAGGTACAGATATATAGTATGTAACAGAAAGCTCATAAGACTTCTCACAAAGACATTCGACCTTAATTATCAACTCTACTGAACAAAGTCCTCACAGAGTTGTGAGCACATTACAAAGATATATTTAATACTATTTAGTTCAAGAACAATGAAGTGGTTCAAAACGAGGACATTTATTTCATTAACTTGCTTTCTGCTACTTGCAGTATCTTGTTATGTCAGGCATCTGAGTCACCAGTACTGGTTGAGACATACTGGAGTCAGAGGAACAGCAACATACTAAGAATGTCATACAAATCAAATACGTAAACTAGTATGTGTAGGTGACAAGAGACACCAGCAATCCATTTACAAACCACATGGAAGTTCCATGGCCATGGAACTGTTGCTATTCATCTCTCTAGATAAATCATAATAACTGAATTAACAACACACACACTCTGCAAACCTTTTATTTTAATTTATTGCATTAGAAGCTTTCCATATGTACTCCACTCCCCAAATACCAGCTGTTAATGAGTCTCACTCTCAACAGCAGAGGCACAACAATGGTGATAAGAATATAGTTCCCTGAGCACTGATCAGCTCCAGCTTTGCTATTTTCCAGTTAGATGGTTAATAGGAGCAAAGAGGGGACCTCTCTGTCTACTGAAAGAGATAAAAGCCAAACTCAGGCTTCCAAATACTTCAGGGATCAGAATTAACAAGTCAAAAATTGTATTCTTTTAAAACTACCAGCTCAATCACGTGATTAAAGGGTGCCAAGGAGTAGATGATCTCACATGGTAGTTATAGCTTTAGTTTTGCTTTAGTTGTTGTCTCTCACAGCTCAATAAACATTAGTTCAGATAATAAATGCATTCAGCCTTTAATTCAGAGATTAAGAAAGTCAGTCCTTGCAACACCCAAGTCCAGTGTCACAGTTTTCAGCCAAAGAATGCAGACTAACAGGAACAGTTACATATAGCACCACCGCTTTCTCAACTATATCTAGTTTTACGCCCTAAATCCTAAAATATAAATTTGTTCAAATTTGTATCTACTGGAATTTACTCCCAGACAATCTTAATGAATCATGGTAATCTGAATGTACATGTGTGTTAAAAATTCTGAAACAAGTCGCATACTTTGTATTTAGATTGGTAAACAACATTTCCTCCCTTTGGAAGATAAAATAATTCAGCCTTTGTTTGAAAAGTAGGTTTCTCCCCATATATTTCATATTCTTCTAAATTCAAACTTTCAATGAAACTATTTAATAAAAGGTGAAAGCAAAATAAAAAGTAAAAAACACACAAACATGGGGGCACCTTAAAGACTAACTTTTATTTATATCTATGTGTGATTTTTAAATAGATTGCTATGCATTATTGCTTTGATTCTACTTTTAGTACAACTTGTGTTTTCCATTTCTCAGAGTGGCATTTCTTTTGAGAACATATTTGTACACTTCTCCATCTTTGCGATATTGGCTGTTAACAATGTTCATAGTTTTAAATATTGTCTTTTAATTGGGTCAACTACTGTTGCATACTCATTGTTTTCAGCTTTTAAATTACTGTCTTTCATTGTTGTCAGCCAAGGCTACTCCTTCTACGATAACTTTATTAAACTAGAGAGGAGAATACGATAGACTTTTTAATTTAAAAAAAATATCTTTTTCACCAAAGTTTTTAAATCCCGCCATCTGAACGATTTAAACACTGCAACTCTTGGGAGAATGCGAAGTTTCGCTCTGTTACGCGCACGTACACGAATATAAACGCACGTTCCCAACAATAAGCCCGCAGGAGACCCTCCCACCGGTCAGGCTCGATCCCCCTGTAAGCTTCTCCCCACCCCCACCCCCCAGCAGCGCCGCTGCCTCTTCGTCTTCTCCCGGTTAGATGGCCTCAGGGTCAGCCTTAGGTACCACCAGCCCCGCAACTTGCTTTGTCGCTCGGTTTCATGAACCAGGGGGAGGAGGAGGACAGGACGGAGAGCCCGAGCTGCTGGGACGCGCTCCACAGGAGCTGAGCTCCGTCCCCCCAGACTTCTCAGGGAAAACGCCCGCGCCCTGAGGTCGCCCCCAACCCTCGCCCCCTCCCCGGCTTTTGCTCTTACTTCCTTGCTCCCCGGGCGTGGGAGCTCCGAGGGCGGCGTCCTTCAGAGCGCAGAGAAGCAGGAGGACGACGGACCCCGAGAAAGCCCGTCGGAGAGCCATGGGGGGCATGGGGAGGCAGCGGGCGGCCCCCGCTTCTTCTCCTGGGGGGGGGAGCCTCCTGTACCGCGCCGCTTGGTTCCACAGTTGCCCGCCCTCCTCTTTCGTCCGGCTCCTCACAACAGGAAACAACCCGTGACACGCGCCCAGCCCACCCTCTCGGCTCGCGTCCTTTTTGACTGTCGGGAGCCCGCATGGGGCGGGACGAAAAGGCGATAGCGAGAGGCCCCCGCCCCGAGATGCGCGCTCCCGTCGAGGTAGGCGTCCCACAAGGACGCTGAAAGAGTTTCGTCAATAAAGTGGGAACCCCTCCCGCCCGATTTCCAGCCTCTCCCTGGCAGTGACAGCTCTTTGGCGCCCCCTTGGCCGGCACACGCGTTACCAGCTGCTCTGGATCCACATGTGTCTTTCGGGAGGGTCTCCCCCTAGCTTTCGAAGCCTTGGGAAGTTGCTCAGAGCCGAAGGGTTGGGCAGAGCTTGGATCAAATCATTCGGAACACGAGGAATTCGGTCCTCTGAGCTGGTGAATATGACCAAGTGTTTGAATTTGGAAACTTTGAATTCTTCAATAAGATTTCTAGGGAAAGACTGCTGAACTAGAAATGGTTGTGGGTGTGTTAGTTTGCTGATAATGTGCAATCCGCTTTGTTTCCAAATATTTGCCTATCAGTTGGGATGTACCTAGCCTGAGCTGATTTGGAGTGGCTTTAATAATTTGTTCTGCAGATATGTGTAGACATTTGTACACTTCTGTGTCAGGAAGAATAGTCTGCATAGTCAAAGCTATGGTTTTTCCTGTAGTGATGTACGGAAATGAGAGCTGGACCGTAAAGAAAGCTGACCGCTGAAGAATTGATGCTTTTGAACTGTGGTGCTGGAGGAGACTCTTGAGAGTCCCCTGAACTGCAAGGAGAACAAACCCATCAATTCTAAAGGAACTCAACCCTGAGTGCTCATTGGAAGAACAGATCCTGAAGGTGAGGCTTCAATACTTTGGCCATCTCATGAGAAGAGAAGGACTCCTTGGATGTTAGGAAAGTGTGAAGGCAAGAGGAGAAGGGGACGACAGAGGATGAGATGGTTGGACAGTGTCATCGAAGCAACCAACATGAATTTGACACAACTCTGGGAGGCAGTGGAAGACAGGAGGGCCTGGCGTGCTCTGGTCCATGGGGTCATGAAGAGTTGGACATGACTAAACGATGTGTCGGAAAGAAGGGAAAACAATGAGCTATGACTTGGGTTGCGGGGGGGGGGACTACAGAGTTTCTTTAACTTTGGAGATGTGGCAGACCCTATATTGCAGAACTCTTAGCAGCTTCCTTCCTTCTGTCTCTTGTGCTTTGGAGTTGTGCTTAGAGGAAGCTATATTAGTGGTAGCCTGTCTGCTCCAAAGATGTATGCACCAGAATGCTGCGTGTTTGGTACCCACCCACTCTGGATCGTACATAGGCACCCACACACCAAGTGTGTCCAGTCAATGCCTAGCCCAAATCAGAGTTCTGTATGTTTGGCACTAATCCACTCAGGAACACCCATAGGTGTCCACAACAATAACAGCAATGGTCGCTAAGTGTATACCAGATAAAAGTCCAACATTGCTTGAGCAGATTTCTGCTGTACTTTAGGCCTTCTTCCCACCCCAGAACTCTCCAAGAGCCTAGTTTTACTGACAATAAAAACATTCTTATATTCTTGTATTGGATTTTGCAAAAACAAAACAAAAAAAGGACTCAAATTTAGGCATACACATGAGATGCATGCACGGAGTAGTGTGCCAGGAGTTTTTCTGCTCCTCTGCCAGAGATGCGTTTGAATAAACTGGCAGCTAAATTAATTACAGTGGTGCCTCGCTAGATGATGATAATCCGTTCCACCGAAATCGCTGTTTAGCAAAATCATTGTCTAGCGAAAAGCATTTCCCCATTGGAATGCACTGAAACTTGTTTAATGCGTTACAATGGGGAAGAATCATCGTTGTCTAGCGAAGATCAGCCATAGGAAAGCCACTTTGTGAACCGTCAATCAGCTGTTTAAATCGCTGTCTTGCAAAGCTTAGGTCCCAAAAACACCTGTTTTGCGAGCGCAGAAGAAGCTTTCAAAATCGTCAACTAGCGAAAATTGATTTGCAAAGCAGGGACCAAACATTGTCCAGTGAAATTCCCCCATAGGAATCACTGTTTTGCAAATCGCTATAGCAATCACAAAAAGTCAATGTCTAGTTAAAAAACAGTCATGCAGGGTAACTGTCTAGCGAGGCACCACTGTATATGCAGTTCTACAACTTTTCTTCTACATCTAAACGGATCACATGTCTGCTTACAGAGGAATGCCATGCATCTGATAAGAGGGGTTTGTCCCCGGGTGCTTGTGCTGACAGATAAGTGATACTTATTTTTTGGGGTGGTGGTGGTGGTTTCTTTTTAAAGTTTTAAAGAGCATTCCATTACAGTGCTAGTTTTATGCTGTGGGTACAGTGTCGGGATCATGTCTCCAACCTTTGAGAGTGGTCTTCAGATGAAAAAGAGGAGGAGAAAATGGGGAGAAATGGTCACCTGTCTTTCTTTGACATAGCGGAATATTGTGGACTAGTATGTGGACAATGGATGGCTTTGGGGGAATTGTAATGAAAATGCAGTGGAAAGTGGCTTCAAAACTAGAAATGATTTGTACTGAACATACACTGACATGATAGCTAGATGAACCAAGCACTAATCTGTTAGTAAGGGGAAGGACAAAGATAGATTCAGTAAAGTTTCTAGGAAAGTGAAGATGAGAGAAAAGCCTTCCTTCCTTCCTTCCTTCCCCTACCTACCTACCTACCTACCTACCTACCTACCTACCTACCTACCTACCTACCTACCTACCTACCTACCTACCTACCTACCTACCTACCTACCTACCTACCTACCTACCTACCTACCTACCTACCTACCTACCTACCTACCTACCTACCTACCTACCTACCTACCTACCTACCTACCTACCTACCTACCTACCTACCTACCTACCTACCTACCTGGAAGCAAAGGACTTGAACAATAATGGGAGCTAAGGTACAAAAAAATTAAAGAGCACCACCCTAATTGTTTTCTTCCTCTCCCAGCAAGGTGCAATGTCGTCGTCATCATCATCTTAGAACTGCAGAGCTGGTACGGATGCTATGGATCACTGAACCCAGCCCCTATCAGGGAGGCGTGGTGGGAAACTGACCTCCTAACTTCTGGCTCCACAGCAAGATATCTAAACTGCTGAGCTATCCAGCAGATATGCTGATAAAAAGGTGCCTCTTCAAAATCTTGGTTAAGGCAAATGTGAAGGAGGAGACGTTAGTGTGCTGTCCTCCCAGAACCAGACCTCAGAGGAAAACCAGGGATGTGTGGAAGGAGTTTTAGAAGAGATAGAAAGGGAGGAGAGGAAATCTCTAGAAGTGTGCTTAGCAGATGACAAGGGGGAGGAGATTATAAAAGGGGAGGAAGAAGCATGAGAATTCAGAATCATAAGGGACAGGACTGTGAAACGCACGAGAGATAGAGCAGTAGAGACTGGAGATGAGGAAGATGCAGAGAAGGTCCGGAGTCTGATAAAGGAGTTCCCCAACCTAAAAACAGGCGGAGGTTTAGTCCCAGATCCTCCTATAGCCAAGCCGGACAACGTGATGATTGAACCGCTAGAATGGACTGTAGTGGTCTTCCCCCGCAACCAACGTGGGGGAGGAAGGTGATTCACCCCAGTCCTTGTTTCAACAAGCCACCATGCGAAGGGGACTGGGTGAGACACCATTGCTGCAGAACGGTTTGCGCGGTCAGGAGCACGCCCTTGCAGCGATGACAGATCAGGAGTGTTTTGGTCCGGCCCCAGTGTGAGGAGCGATATATTTACTCCAGATGTGAAGGTTCGAAGTTATAAGATTTTACCGGAGTTGAGTACGTTTGATCCATTTGAGTTGGTTGACGTTGTGGTTGCTGAAAATAAAAAGGATTCTGTTCAATTTTTAAAATCGCCTCCGACTCTTATTCCTGCCCAAACAAGGGGACCGCCTTCAGCTTCAGGAGAACCTGATCACAGCAGACAGTGCACTTCTTTGCTTTAATGGCAGTAGTGCATTTTCTTCTGCGCATCTACTCTGTTGTTTTCATGGGATCAGTTCAGATGTAGAGGAAACTCCAATCTCTTCAGCCACTGTACTTTTGGTAGGTCAGGGATAGAATACACCCTTGCATATGGACAGCGAAGGCTACTTTTTCTTGAGTACAGTGAATAAAGGCTTTATAAATATTTATGGTATGTCATGCAGCATCCCAGTTCTGTTGTACTTGTGGCCCCTGAACATTTGTCTCCTGAACACCCTTGCTGACAAACCCTAGGTATGCTACAATGGAACCACTCCCACCAAGCAGTCATCCTGGTTCCCTCGGAAAAAAATTATCTAAAATGCCACAGTAGCATCATATCATGATTAGTTCCAAAGTCAAAGTTACAGAACAAGATAAGAGTGTGCCAGCTTCTGAGATAAACAGAACTTTTCTCCAGTCTTGATGTTAAGTTAAAGTGAAGTTAGAAGGGGCCTATAAGGCCATCATGTCCAACCCCCTGCTCGATGCAGGAATGCAAATCAAAGGATGTCTGCCAGGTGGTTGTCTACATTTCTCTTGAATGCCTCCAGTGTTAGGTGAGCATTCACCACCTCTCAAGATAATTGATTCCACTGTCTTACTGCTCTAAAAGTTAGGATTTTTTCCTGATATTCAGTCGAAATCTGGTTCCTGTAACTTGAGCCCATTGATGCATGTTGTGCACTCTGGGATGATCAAGAACAGATCCTGCCCTTCCTCTATAAGACAGCCTTTCAAATCTTTGAATAGTGTTATCATATACATTCACCACCTCTCAAGATAATAGATTCCACTGTCTTACTGCTCTAAAAGTTAGGATTTTTTCCTGATATTCAGTCGAAATCTGGTTCCTGTAACTTGAGCCCATTGATGCATGTTGTGCACTCTGGGATGATCAAGAACAGATCCTGCCCTTCCTCTATAAGACAGCCTTTCAAATCTTTGAATAGTGTTATCATATCAGCCCTCTGGCTTCTTTTCTCAAGGCTAAACATGCCCAGTTCTTTCAGCCTTTTCTCATAAGGCTTGTTTTTCAGCCCCCTGATTATCCTTGTCACCATCCTCTGAACTTGTTCCATTTTGTCAGCATCCTTCTTGAAGTGTGGTGTCCAAAACTGGACACAATACTCAAGGTGAGGCCTAACCAGTGCTG